AAATATATACAATCTGTCAATTATACTTCAATAAACATGGGAGAAATAAAAATAAATTTAAAGAAACACAACCAATAACAACAACAACAAAAAATATATATATATATATATAAAGTAAATAAAATGTTTCATCCAGAGTGAAACTCAAAAAAGTATCTATTTCTCTATTATAACATCTCAAGACAGACTTAGAAGATAATCTCAGATATTTTTAAAGTTAAATATACTTTGGAAGATTCAAGATACACAATAAAAATAGACTAGGGCTCTAAACCACCTTAATGCTTGCTTCACCTGACTAAAGTGAATACTTCACTTATTAGAAGAGTTTGGTACAAATCTATTAAGTGCAAGTAAATTCAGGATCAGATTTACATATTTAAAGCTTCTTCACCAAAACACATATTATATCACACAGAAATGGTGATTTGGTTTATTCTTTTCTCAACTGAGAATACAAAGGGACATTTACAACCACTTCTATCCCTCCTCTACTACTATATGTTACTTGGTGTTGATATAGTACAACTTCTCTCTCTACTCTTCTATCTGGCTCATTACCAGGGCAGATTACTTACTAAACACTGTCAGGGACTTCTGGTTCCTCCTCTGCTGAATGCTCCATTCACCTTCTTCACACAAAATGTCAGATGACCTGCTTGCCAACGCTATTTCATCATTGCAGTTACAATACCAGAAACAAGACCTCAAACTTAAGGCCTGAAATTTATAGGCAACAGATATAGCCAATGGCTGGAAATTATTTAGCCATACACTCAATCTAAGACATTCTTCCACCACATCAAAATGATATGAAATTATTATAATTAAATTTATTAACAATTATGTAGCTTTTGGGGGCTGTTACAGAGAAAAAAAGACCCAGAGTATTCACATCCTTCACAACATAAAGTGGGTCCCTACTGGGAGTAGACATTACCCATAATTTATAGGAAACTCCATTTCTCACTTTTTATATAAGGAGGCTACAGCCAGAATGTAAACTATGTTATCTGCTACCATCATCACCACCATCAGCAACCTGTACCAGTGGAAGTGAGGGAATCAATAACAGCACAATAAATTCCACAGCCTAAGTCAGCATTTCTGAGCCCCATCTGAATTTCTGAAAAGGCAGCTGCCTTAGTCTGTTTGGGCTGCTATAACAAAATACCACAGACTGGGTACTTTATAAACAACAGAAATTTCTTACAGTTCTAGAGGCTGAGAAGTCCAAGATCAAGGTGCCAGCATGGTCTGGTAAGGGCCCTTTTCCTACTTCACAGCTGGTGCCTTTTCACTGTGTCCTCATATGGCAGAAGGGGCTAGGGATCTTTCTGGAGCCTCCTATATAAGGCACTAATTCCATTCATGAAGGCTCCACTCTCACGACTTAAGTGTCTCCCAAAGACCCTATCTCCTAATACCATCATCTTTGGGGGTTAGAATTTCAAAACATGAATTTTGGAGGAACACATTCAAACCATAGCAGTACTCAATCAGATTAATTCAGCCTCATTTAAGAGAATTAAAGAGTTTTAAAAAAAACATATAAATATTGTTAACAGCCCTACCAACACTTCCTCTGGCATAATAGTGCTCAAGCGTCAATGACAGGATATAATACTTCTCTATTCTCTCTGAGGCTATCTAAGCCAATAACAGATTTCGATAGCACTAAAACACGAAAGGAAAGAGGACAGGGAAGATTGTGCTGTAACTCCAGGCCGTAACCAGGGCTTAAAAGCACAGACATTAACAAAAAGCGTAGTTCTTTATCTCAAGTTTTAATGGTATTTTAAAGTTTTGGTTTAGGTTCGAAAGATTTTAATTTTTTTTATGAATAATAAATATTACTTCTATAAAGAGCCTTTCAAATGGTTACATCTATAAGGTCAAAAGATTTTAAAAGTTTACTTTTTGGTGGTACAAAGACCAGAATAAATAAGTACTTTAAAAACAAATTTACTTCTGTCTTTAGGTTGAAGAAGCTTTTTGGAAGACTTACTAACACAATGAGCAGAGAAAGCATATACAATCATAGAATAAAAGAACTATGTAGCAAATCTTGCCCTATTCTACAGATGAGGCCCACAGAGGCTGAACAAGCAAGACTATGCAAAAAGAGAGGCGCACACAGTTAAATGCAAGTTACTGGTAATGTTTTCGTTCTTGAGCCATCTGCTGGGTCCATGAGCACTTATTAGAACAGACTAGAGCAGACTTAACTAGCTAATAAATAAGTCAGACCTGGACCACTGGCGATGATGTGTCATGAATCAAATACTGTATCTGAAGTACAAAAAAGAAAACACAGTTCACAAGTAACTAATCTGTAGGATCTAAAGCTAAGTATTATGACTGGCACAGACACGTCTCTCAGAGTAAACACCAAACAGTTAATAAATATTTTGAGTGAAATATCAATATATTAAAAATAATTCAGAGTGGGGGCCGGCCCAGTGGCTTAGTGGTCAAGTTCACGCACTCTATTTTGGTGGCCCACGGTTGACAGGTTCAGATCCCGGGCAGGGACCTACACACCGCTCATCAAGCCATGTTGTGGTGGCATCCCATATACAAAACAGAGGAAGATGGGCACCGATGTTAGCTCAGGGACAATCTTTTCCAAGCAAAAAGAGAAAGATTGGCAACAGATGTTAGCTCAGGGACAATCTATCACCAAAAAAAAAAAATAATAATAATTCAGAGTGAACATCAAGGTGGCATTTACCCAACAGAACTTGGTCAGCTTCTCATAAAAAACTTCTATAATTAAAACTAATTACAAAGACATGTTAAGGCAGTGTACTATAACTATTATCGCTACAGTCACACTCAAATCATTATAAATCTAAGTATCTTTTGAGGAAAAGATTATATAAATATCTTAGCAATGCTTTTCAGTGTATTGAAGAGTAGGAAATCAACAAATGTTGGTAGAACTAAATTGAACTTTACAAATTAGACATGTCTTCTTATCAAGGCATTTACCAATATTGTATTTTTGTAATGATCTTTTCTGAATTAAACCTCAGATTTCTAACTTTTAAACTGTATTTTATGACATTTTCATATATTAATAGTATTATTTTTTACAGATTCATATTTATAACTCTAAAAGGCCCCTTCATTTAACCTACCATCCCACACTAATTTTATTTAGAAAATAAGTCTTCTTGATTGTGATTCTACAATGTAGTAACTTGAAATAATTTAAATTAAATATGGGTTTATTCAGTTTTACTAGTACATGTGTAATTTTTTAACTTCCTCCTTAACTAATCAAAACTTAAAATAGGAAAAAAAACTGTTTAAAAATGTGTTTCATCCATAATGTTCTTACTGAAAAATTAATTCCAATCACTAACATAAACCCAAGTATTACTCTCCAGGGTTGTATACTGCTAAATAACTTGTCCAAATGTCAAGTGCAATTTTCAAAAATCCTTTCTACCTCAAAATTTTAAACATCTGTAAAAAATACTTGTTTTGAGAGTGGTTTACATTCATGACACTTGACCTTTTGCTGTACACACCACAAAATTCAAGTCTCAAATACCATGCAAGCAGGAAATCTGATCATTCCTGCAGTAGCCATCTGCATGGTCCAATATCAAATATTAGTTCTAGGTTGCACTAAGTCATGTGTTACAAATCTTCTTCTGCAGCCTCTATAATTAGTTATAATTTGCCTCTTTTAAAATGTGTTTCTTATGGGACATCTGGCCTTGAAACTTCACTTTCCCATTGAAAAAATACTTAGTGTCTGGACTTTTTTCTCATAATATAGAGCACTGCATGGGTGGTATAACCAAGTCCAGACTTTTAAAAAATTAAATTCCAAGAACACATGATGGTTAAGAACCATTTAAGTATTACCAAACATGAATTAAAATAAACCTTTGTTGCAATATAACTATCTACAGATTTCTAAATCAATCTCCCAAATATTTAAAGTTCACAAAGTAAATTTTCATGGGAATGTAGCATTGGTCTACTGACTTACAGGAACTACAGTAGTTAAGATAAATTAGATAATACAGGTTTGGAATCAAAGATTTCGTATAAGGAAAAAAAGCTTTGATCCCAGTGGGATGATGTGACACTCAAAGTATCTGCTTAAAACAGGAAATGATTTTAACAATTCATGAATAACTTTAATTTCACAGAGATTGAAGTGACATTTAGGATACAATAAAACGGCCTTAAGGTGCTTATGAAATAGCCAATTTAGTAATACTCATCAATTCAACTGTCTCTAGAAAGCCTTCCTTAAAACTGAAAATTAAATGTGGGCTAAGGAAAAAGTAACAAAAATGAATGACAAAGACACTACTTTTCTGCAAGATGAAAGTGGAAAAATTCATCACAATATGCTGCTGTCCAGACGTATTTGTTCCTAGATTAGAAAATTTTTCATAGAAACTCCCTAAAATCAATATTATACTTTTACAAAAAACACTAAAAAGAAATGTAAAATGAGGCAGAGAAGAAATAAATAAGTTAGAAAAAAATCAGTTTCTGATGCCAAAACTTCCAAGACAACAATGAAATTTCGTATAAAGGTAAATTCAATATATTTTCATCTTCCCCAAAAATAACAAGAAATGTTCATCTCATTTAGAAATGTCACATAAATAAAAAATCATGCAGATCCTTTGTGAAAATTCAAAAATCTTCACCTGAAAATTGGACACAATCAGGCCCCACTTCTAGCGGATATAGGTAATAAGCAATCTACATGATCCCTATTATAGGGCTATGATCAGCGTAAGTAAAATTAGTATGAAAATATTCTTTAGGATATTTTATCCAAATTTAAGAATTCCTTTTTGCAATTAATTATGCTACTTTAGTAAGCATGTAAAAAATAATAAGTGTACAAGATAATATTTATTTATGTAAAAGTTGACATACCCCAAAAGTTAAAGAAATATCAAATACTAATAACTATTAAACTTGGTTAACATAAACAACTAGGTTCAATAATTTCTTACCTGTATTCCATCTTTAAGTTTCAAAATACATTCCATTGTGTTGATGGTAATTACCACTGGTTCTGAACCCAGTTTTGTCCAAGGTACATGGATCCTCAACTCGTGAATATGTCCACTTAAAAAAGTGAATGGTAATTTCAATTCCTTAAAACACAAAATATGAAAAGAAAAGTTAGTAGGCACTTAATATTTTTTTCATTCTAATATATAAATTACTTTCTTAAAAGAAAAATGGAATTCCCAATACAAAAATATTTTGGGAATTATTGTTCATCAAAAAGTAGCATCAAAGAACTTGTAAAACTACAAAAACTTACCATGCGAAAAGCTACTTAACCTGTCTAGGGCTCAGTTTCTTACTCTGCTGAATGGAAATAATATACGATAGCTGGTATATGATAATGGCTCAGCTATGGCAATGGTGGTAGAAGTCACAGTAGACAGCAGTAGTACTTGAGATAACCGAATGGTATACTGTTTAAAATCTCCATCTAAAAATATGTATTTGAAATGTGTTTCAGGGGCCGGCCCAGTGGTGTAGCAGTTAAGTGCACGTGCTCCGCTTCAGTGGTCCGGAATTCCCTGGTTCGGATCCCGGGCACGCACCGATGCACCAATTGTCAAGCCATGCTGTGGTGGTGTCCCATACAAAGTAGAGGAAGATGGGCACAGATGTTAGCTCAGGGCTAATCTTCCTCACAATTAATCAATCAATCGATCAATAAAATGTGTTTTAAACTAACAGAATGAGATACTAAGGCAAGTTGAAAGAAGGGCTGAATTACAGATAGAATTACCTGACAAAATAAAAATTGCCCAACCTTTAAAAAAAAAACTTATTGAGCTTTACCTAATTAAAGACTGTATCTGGACACTATGTGGTCATAAATTTTAAATGTTTTCTGACTGGTTTCCATTATTATTAGAAAGAAGGTTAGAAATGAAAATATAAATGTCATCACAATCACTTTATACTAATTTGTTTCACTTCCAGAAAAAAATTGTTACAGATCAACAAAGGAAGAAAAAAATAGTGTTTAGATTATATTTCAATCATATTTTTACAGTTACTATAACTCTATTTTTGAAACTTAAGATAAATATTAAGCTTATTCATTCATTCAACAATTGCCCATCTTCTTGGTTTAGCAACACAGTAGCAATATAGCTCAATATATATGACAGTATGCCAAAGTGGTTAAGATCAATAACTCTGGAGCCCCAGGAGACATGGATTTAAAACCTACCTCTGCTACTTACTAGCACAATGACACTAGGTAACTTGTTTAACGTATCTGTGCCTCAGTTTCTTTATCTGTAAAACCTGGATAATAATAGTATCTTTGAGGATTAAATGAATTAATTTACATAAAGTGCTTAAAACACTGTCTTCCTTAAAGAGCAATCAATATAAAGATGCTAACTATTATTATTATTACAAATGTGTGAGTCTCATTTATGTCTTCATAAGTTTTTTTTAAAGGGCAGAATTCTACAACTCTATTTCTACTATTGTATTCTAATGGATATCACAATTTTTAATTATCTCTCATTATTACATTAATTTTAAAGATGCGGTAATTTCTTCAAGCATTAATCAACCGGGACAGATTGTATTTTGATCAGTGTCTATAACAAAGACTGTTTATTGAGCAGTTACTATGTACTAGACACTGTTCTAAGCACTCCACCTGCATGCAATTATTTAATCTTTGTAAGAACCCCAAAAGGTAAATACTATTATTATACTCATTTTACAGATGAAGAATCTGAGGCATGGAAAGGTCAAGTACCTTCCCAAAATGAATCATCTAGGAGAGCCAGAATTCAAAACTGGAAAATATAATGCCAAAGTCCTTGCTCTTAACCACAATTACACTACATCTACACTTCCATTATGAGCACTGAATATGTTTCCTTTGGTTATGCATCTATTTGGATAATTAGCCAATGACATTCCACTTCTACCACCCTTTGACTTGTGTAACAATGATACATTTGTGAAATGGCTACCCAAGTTCTAGTCTATGGGCACACAAACTGATTTTCTCAGGGAAAAGTTAAAGACACCTGAATCAAACTCTAGACCTTCGTATCATCAGAATGCTACTAATCATCTGAACTACTAACTAAACACTAACACGAGAGGCAGCATTCTATATTAGAAGATGGAATTTTGAACCATATGGCCCATGTTCGAGATCCAACTAAAGTTCAACACTTATTAATCCTCTGACTACAAGCAACATCATTTTCATTTCCTCATCACAGAGCTGTTGTGACAAACAAATGAGAACACATTTACACCTTGTAAAAGGCAAAGCACAAATGCTGACTGTTACAATAAACAGGTCATTCTTAAGGTAACCACAAACAAATGATTATCCATTCCTTTTTCTTCTCAAAATATACTGTACAACTTAAAAATATTTTATTCACTTGTAATTATTCAGAAATATATTGTGAAAAATGCATCCCTAAAACCAGAATACCTATGGCTGCACAAAGGATATTAGTAGCAAAGAATTTAAGAAGAGGGTTGAATAGCTTTCAAAAATCTAACTCTCAGTAAACTATTACAAAATATTCTACCATGGAACACTGGGATACTTTAAAAATGAATATAATGGGCAACTAAAGCAAAAATAAACAAACAGGACTACATCAAACCTAAAAACTTCCACACAGCAAAGAATACATTTGACAGAGTGAAAAGGCAACCTACAATGTGAGAAGATATTTGTAAACCATATATCTGATAAGGGGTTAAAATCTAGAATACATAGAGAACTACTACAACTCAACAACAACAAAAAAATCCAATTTAAAAATGAGTGAATGACTTGAATAGATATTTCCCAAAAGAACATATACAAATGGCCAACAAGTATATGAAAAAATGCTCAACATCCCTAATCATTAGGGAAACGCAAATCAAAACCACAGTGACATATCATCTCACACCTATTATAAAGGCCACTATCAAAAAATAAATAAAACAGAGGGGCCAGCCCACAGCCTAACGGTTGAGTTCGGCACATTCCACTTCAGCGGCCTAGGTTTGCACGTTCAGATCCCAGGCGTGGACCTACACCACTTGTCAGCCATGCTGTGGCAGCAAACCACATACAAAATGGAGGAAGACTGGCACACATATTAGCTCCGGGCTAATCTTCCTCAAGCAAAAAAAATAATAATGAAAAAATAAAAATAAAACAGAAAGTAACAAGTGTTGGCAAGTTTATGGAGAAACAGGAACCCTTGTGCACTGCTGGTGAAAATGTAAAATGATGCAACCACTAGAGAAAACAGTATGGAGGTTGCTCACTTAAAAACAGAATTACCATATGATCCAGCAATCTCAGTTCAGGGTATATACTAAAAAGAACTGAAAGCAGGATCTCAAAAAGATTACTGCACAACCATGTTCGTTGTAGCATTATTCACAATAGTCAAGAGGTGGAAGCAGCCTAAATGTCCGCTGAAAGACAAATGGATAAAGAAAATGTAGGGGCCAGCCCTGTGGCTTAGCAGTTAAGTGCGTGCACTGCACTACTGGCAGCCCAGGTTCGGATCCCGGGCGTGCGCCGACGCACTGCTTGTCCGGCCATGCTGAGGCGGTGTCCCACATACAGCAACTAGAAGGATGTGCAACTATGACATACAACTATCTACTAGGGCTTTGGGGAGAAAAAGGGAAAAAAAAAAAGGAGGAGGACTGGCAATAGATGTTAGCTCAGGGCCGGTCTTCCTCAGCAAAAAGAGGAGAATTGGCATGGATGTTAGCTCAGGGCTGATCTTCCTCACAAAAAACAAACAAACAAATAAATAAATAAATAAAATGTAGTATATACAATCGAATGTTATTCAGTATTTTAAAAGAAGGAAATTCTGTCATATGCTACAACATGTGAAATAAAGTGAAAAGGCATTATGCTATGTGGAATAAACTACGCACAAAAAGACAAATATTGTGTGATTCCACTTATATAAGATATCTAAAATAGTCAAATTCTTAGAAATGGTAAGTAGAACGGTGGTTCTCAGAGGCTGGGGGAAAAGGGAAAAAGGTTGTTCAATGGGTATAGAGTTTAAGTTTTGGAAGATGAGAAAGTTCTAGAGATATGCTGACCAATAACATGCACATAGCTAACACTACTGTACACTTAAAAATGGTTAAGATGGTAAATTTTATGTTATGTGCTTTTTACCACAAAACAAAAATGAATATAAGACAGGACCTCAAGAATTCTGAGTTAGGAGGTTGGCAAATCCTCTCCCCAGAAAGCAATGGCAAAACTAGACAACGTTTTCAAAAACAAAAGAAAACTCATGGGAAATAAGGGAAGGCTAGCCTGAGGTCACAATACTCGTTGGTGCAAGCAATAAAACAGCAGACCAGCCAGGAAATTAACAGAAAGCACCACAGAACAAGACAGCCAAAGATGGACTTGCTATGACCTCACATGTTCCTGGTAGTCTAGAAAGCCATATGCACGTGCCAGGTTATGCGTACTCAGAAGACACTGGAGAGGGCCCTAACAAGCTGCTCATTCACGCTTGACCAAGAGACCTTGTAAACACAGTAAGTAAAAAAATGGATCAGACTTGTAAACTCCCTGAACTTTGAAAGCATAATCTAGTACATGTATATATCCCAAGCCAAAGAGCAGAAGCCTTACTGATTCAAAGGTTTAAACAACCTCTAATCAATCACTGGCTGATGACTAAGTTATAGTAACCCAGGGGTAACCTCTAGAAAGCCAGGCCTAGAAACAGAAAGAATTTGGGGAAAGAAAAAAAAACCAGCACAGACATCAGAGGCCACATACTGCAGGGGAAAGAGACACCACCAATTTAATCTAGGTAAGTTACTAAACAAATAAATAAACCAACAGGCACAACAACCATCCGCTGGAGGGAGGAAATCAGAATTAAGAGTTGCTACAACATATTATCCAAAATGTCCAGTTTTCAACCAAAAATTATGAAACATGAAAAGCACACAAAGTATTTAATAGACACTATCTCTGAGGGTGCTCAAATGTAGGACTTAATAGACAAAGACTTCAAAATATCTATTATAAATATTTTTAAAGAAACAAAAGAAACCATATTTAAATAAAAAAACATATGACAACAGT